TTACATTTTAATAAGTATAAATAGATATTACAAAGTACTTACATATTCTCCACATGTAACTATGGGTTAAAATCACAAATGATACATTCTGTATGATGCAGTCTATCAATAACAATGACACAGCCATTTTTGTGTCTCTCTATGTCAGCTCTAACACATTTTTATTACCTGTTGATCCGGCCAGTAGATCCATTATTTATTCACTTCCTTTAACAGACCAAGCTGTCCAGCAAAAGTTTTAGTTACAGGGCTTGGGGCAAAGCGTATCCAGTAACAATGACAGGGTGGCTTACAATGATCAGCTTCTGTTTATGTGGCTTAATCCTTTTTTCCCCGAAAACAAACTGTTGCTGTAACTATTATAAAGAATTAGACTTTAATTTGTGTCTTATTGAGGATGATTTAGAACTAGATGTCTAAGTAGTGACAATGCTGCTAAACGATTTTTACTGCAAGGCAAACAAAGCCTTCATCTTATTACAGGAAGTGGAACAATAATGGATCTACTGGCAGGATCAACAAGTAATAAAGCTGTTACAGAGGAGACTCAGAAAAACAAAAACTGCTGTGTTCATGCTACTAACAGAATGCCTCATATATTTCATTTTTGATATTGCCCTCAACTTTAAGCAAAGACAACAAAAAAATTTCCATCTATTTTAGGTCATTCTTCCCTTTGTGCTTTGTGTCAATTTCCTGATCATCAACTGCACAGAGGCCATCCGCTGACCTTTTAGCAGCATTTTGTAGATAGCCCTGATCCTCTGCTATTCATTTATAGATCATTACGTGGCAGGAAATGACACAACACCAGTTGAATCCAGAAGAGGCTGGTTTGGTAGACATAAACTCCTTTATTGTTCTGACCTCTATTTTTAAGTCAGTATTTGACAGAAGAGTCAAGATGTTCCTGCCTAAGGCTGAATTCACACAGATGAAAAAAAGGAGCCACTTGGCTTGTGGTTCTGAAGACAGGGCTGAAATAGTAAACTAAGTCAAATGGTTTAGTTCACACATATGTGGTGGAGGTAAAGTGCGGTGGGCACAG